ACCTGTAGTCCCAGCTACTAGGGAGGCTGAGGCAAGAGAATTGCTTGAGCCCAAGAGTTTGAGATTGCTGTTAGCTGTGACACCGTGGCACTCTACCTAAGGCAACAGTTTGAGACTCTGTCTCAAAAAAAGCCTTATTCTAAAGTGTAATATCCTTGAAATTCTGGGTTTGATACCCCCCATACTCACATTATACATATATATGTTTCTAATACATTCATATTTGTATATATGTGTATATTTCTAATACACATTCAAATAACTAATAACTGTGAAACCTCAAAAACCATTCCATATACTGCCTAAGCCCATCTCGAAAGCCCACATGCTGTGCATACCACATGTTGGGAAACACTGTTTCCTGCAGCTTCTAAGCCCAGGTCTGTCACTGGCTTACTGAATACATTCTCCTTTTTCCATCCCATGCCTCCTTTTACCTTGTCAATAAAAGTGAGGGATCGCTTGAACCCATGAGTTTGAGGTTGCTATAAGCTAGGACACCACAGCAATCTACCTAGGGTAACAAAGTAAGATTCTGTCTCAAAAAAAGAAAGAAATAAGTGGATGGGTTGATGCCAAAGACTTTCCTGTTGTCAGTTAACATAGGTACAGGCCTAAGAGGTGTTGGGATCTTGGGCTGGCTCCTGTCTTCATTCAGAAGTGGGGTTTTATCCAATAAGTAAGAGTGATCATACCTTATGAACACTAGTCTCACATTAGTCAAACTCACATGCGACTGATTGATAAACAAGAACAAATCTATGCATTGACCTTGAGACAGTAGCAGTCCACTGGGCTGGATTCTCCACCAGTGGAAGAACACATATCCTTGTCAGCATTGGCATGTGCTTAGGACACTTACTAAGCTGGCCCATGCAGAACAGAGAGGCCTATGGTCCAGTCCAGTGGAAAGCTCTTGGCTTTGGAGATTCTCTTGACTTTGAATCTGGTGTGCTAAGAACGTAGATGACTGTGAGTTACTTTGTTTTTTTGAGTCTCATCACCTATAAAATAGGGACCATTATACTTTTTAGGGTTGTTGTAAGGATTACGTGAGATTCTATATGGAAAAGCCTGGCACAAAGTAGGTGCTAATTAATTGCAAGCTAGTGTGATTGTTTTTAAGGGAAATTATCATAAGACTTAGGAACTGAATGGTGTCTGATTCAGGAGCTACAAATCCAAATGCCAGTTGGGGCCAGGCAGCTGATAGTAATTGGGTAAAGCAGGGCAAGTGTCTGGGAACTAAAAGAATGGTGAGGACTTGTGTGACCTTGAGAAGGCAAAGCCTAGAGAAAGAGTCTCTTCTACTCAGCTCCAATAATGGCCAGAACTTCAACTTGTTAAAAACAAACCAGAAATCTGGACATTTTTGTGGTAACTCCTGATTTTAAACTGGCAACCAATTACAATTTGCAACATTATAAGGGTCAATACTGCCAGTCAAGGCTCGGCGCCTGTGGCTCAAGTGGCTAAGGCGCCAGCCACGTACACCCAAGGTGGCGGGTTCGAATCCAGCCTGGTCCCGCCAAACAACAATGACAGCTGCAACCAAAAAATAGCCGGGTGTTGTGGCCGGTGCCTGTGGTCCCAGCTACTTGGGAGGCGGAGGCAGGAGACTCGCTTGAGCCCAGGAGTGGGAGGTTGCTGTGAGCTGAGATGCCACGGCACTCTACCCAGAGGAACAGCTTGAGGCTCCTGTCTCAAAAAAAACAAATACTGCCAGTCAAGTAAAACATGAGTCAGGGGGCCAATGCTAGTTAGCAGTTTGCAGTAGCTGGTCTATATCATCTTTGCCTTTGTTTTTCCTTTACCCATTGTTCCAACATGGTGATGACATACAGGAAATATCTAGTACCTCACTGTACAATGAACAAACCCATGCAGACAAATCGGGTAGAGAAGTGAAGAGAAATGAACTGCAAAACCTGTGTGATCTAACCCCCAACCACTTCCTCCAGGTGCCAGAGAACTTTCCACAGCCTCCTTGGCAGCTGGTACTGATAGAAACTCCCCCTTGCTTAAGGTGGTTTATTCCCTGATTGGCCAGCACACAGGATGTGACAGTTATTTATGGTCTTCCTTATGGTAACACATAGATAGCTTTACTCTACCACTATCTGCTGTGCCCTTTGGATATCTAAAGTCAGGGGTCACTGAGGGCAGATGTCCAGCATCCAGACTCTATCACATCTCTCTGTTTTGGTCTCTGCACAGCACTTGTCACTCTTCACTTCAGCATCTATTTGTTTCCTTTATTATCTAATTAAGGCCCATGAGAGTTGAGAGCTTCCCGTTCATGCTCTTAGACTCCCCAGCTCCTAGAGCACAGGCTCACCACATTGTGACCCACCAGAAGGGCTGTCGCCCACCCCTTCATCACCTATTTCACAAGCACCTCCTCTGGGCCTGGCACTGTGCAAAGTTCAGCTCTTTGTTCATTGTCTCCAAATGAATCTTGAAAAGAGTGTTCTCTTTATGGACACAGGGACTGAGGCTCAAAGAGAGGAAGTTACTTGTCCAAGGTTGCAGAGTTAGTAAGATTGGTGATAGGAATTTAGAGGCCTGGGCTTTCTGCTTTCCAGGTGTACCCTGAGTTTGTCCTTGGCAATGCTGCCGAGTAACGGAGTTGGAAGCCAAGGAGCAGCCAACTGATGACTCACTGAGTACTTAGTAAAGTCAAGTCACCCTCTGCCCCCTGCCACTAGCTTTTCTCCTTAACTTGTCTCCAATCAAAGTTGGCAGTTTACCTTGAGGAGGAATGTTCCAGCTAGACTTCTGGAGGGCAGTGCTGTGGTCTTGACCCTGTGTCTCAGTGTCTTCACCTGGAGAATGGAGGCACTACATTAACTAACTCCTGGGGCTGTTGTGAGCTAATGTAGCGACTGTTTACAACAGCACCTGAACATAGTTAAGTGTTCAATGTATGTTAGCTATTATTATTTTTTTTTTTTTTTGAGACAGAGCCTCAAGCTGTCACCCTGGGTAGAGTGCTGTGACATCACAGCTAACAGCAACCTCCAACTCCCGGGCTCAAGCGATTCTCCTGCCTCTGCCTCTCAAGCAGCTGGGACTACAGGCGCCCACCACAATGCCCAGCTATTTTTTGGTTGCCGTCATTATTATTTGGTGGGCCCGGGCTGAATTCAAACCTGCTGGCTCAAGTGTAGGTTGCTGGCGCCTTAGCTGCTTGAGCCATAGGCGCCAGAGCCAGCTTTTATTATTTTATCAGAATGTTACTTGTTGAGATGAGAAAGCTTCCTCTAAGGTTTTGAGATTTTTTTAAAAACTTTTTTCTTTTTCCAGACGTAAGGAAATTTGTTTACTCTGAGTGAATTCTTTGTTTTGTTTGCAGTATTTTGGCAAGGGCTGGGTTTGAACCCAGCACCTCCAGCATATGGGGCTGGCGCCCTACTCCTTTGAGCCACAGGTGCTGCCCCAAGAGTGAATTCTTTTTTTTTTT